GGTTTAGGGTTCAGGGTTTTAGGGTTTAAGGCTTAGGGTGTTCACATAGCACTCTTGCGGCCTCGGATTTGGTACTGGTTTTACACTTGCGCGGGCAAGTTTTTCGCAGCCCCATTGCAAGGGAGCAGCCCAGATCCGTTCGACAGCACAGAACCATGTAAATCGAAGCATTTGCTGCAGACAAAGCCAAACCGCCAAGATCCTCAGGCCTAATAGAGGGGCCTTAATAAGTAGCATAGGGTTCCGGGGTATATTCTGCTATGACTACTATAATCAGGAACCACCCTTGGAATAGTATATTACGCTATATTTATAGTAAGGACCCCCCAACCCCCAACCTTAAACCCTGTAGGCCTTAAACCCTAACCTCTAAACCCAAACCCCTATAAACCCTAAACCTTAAGCCCAACCCGTTTAGAATAGTATATTACACTATAATTATAGTAAGGAACCTCCAAAACCCTAAACCTTAAACCCTGTAGACCTTAAACGTAAAAACCCTAAACCTTAAACCCTATAAAGCCTAAGACCTGAAAAACCCCAAACCTTAAACCCTAAAACCCTAAAAACCCTATAAACCTTAAACCCTGTAGACCTTAAGCCCTAAACCCCAAAACCCTAAACCCCTATAAACCTTAAACCCTAAAACCCTAAACCCCTGAAGCCTCAAAACCCTAAACCTTAAACCCTAAAACCCTAAACCCCTAAAACCTTAAAACCCTAAACCCTAAACCCCTATAAACCTTAAACCTTCAGCCCGAGTTGCTAGCAGGGCCCCGAGGTGCCGCCAGCAACCGAGGAGGCGCCCCGGGCACTGCCAGGGCCAGTCGCGCATCCCGCGAGCGGCTCCGCTCCCGCGCCCTGAGTTTTGGGGGTTTTAGGGGCTTTTTGGGTTTTAGGGGCTTTTTGGGTTTTAGGGGCTTTTGGGTTTTAGAAGCTTTTTGGGTTACAGGGTTTAGGGGTTTTAGGGGTTTTAGGGGTTTTAGGTGTTTTAGGGTTTTTGGGGGTTTTCGGGTTGAGGGCTTTGGGAGTTTAGGGTTTTAGGGTTTTACAGGATTAGGGGTTTTGGGGTTTAGGGTTGTAGGGTTTAGGGTTTTAGGGATTACGGTTCCGTTCAGGGCTTTATTAGGGAAAGGGGCAGGGTTTTATATGAGTTGTGGGGTTTAGGACATGTAGGCGCGCAGCGTTTTGGTGGGTTAAGGTTTCAGGGTGCCCCTAAACCCTAAACCCTAAACCCTGCACAAGGCAAGGTATGTCTGCTTTGACATGCTTCGAAAACTGTTTTCAAGGCTCTCCGGGGCAGGATGCTGCAGAGTAGGGTTTAGGGTTTAGGGTTTAGGGTTTAGGGTTTAGGGTTTAGAGTTTTGACATGAAGCACACAGAACTATCGGGGAATGCTTGCAATCCACATGCGGAAGTTTCAGCAAATCATGGACCCGAACATAGACCACAAATTGTAGGATCCGATCGCTGAGGGCCCGGAAGCAAGGTACTGACCTTGTGATATTTTCAGTAATCACGACAACAACATCCACAACAACGACAATAACAGTAATAATGATAATCTAATGAACAAGTCACTAAACAATCCCTACGACAATCACTGTACAAACAATGCAAATATATAATAGTAGTGGCAAGAATGACAACCATGACCGTAGTAAAAATGAATGTTATAGTAACAATAAGAGTAGTAGCAGTACCGAGAACAGTAATAATGATAATCACAACTAATCATCTCCGTTGTACTAGTAGTGACAATGAGAACGAGAGTAAGACTCATACTAGAAATAAGTATAGCCATAATGATAGTAATAATAATAACAACAATAATAA